GTACCACAAAGCTGGCCTTCCTCTAGGCTGTTTCTGGGATATGTATGATTCTTTGAGGAGATAGAAATAGCTCTGAAGGGATAAATAAAAAAAAAAGGTTTATTTGTTTGAAAGGCAGGGTTATAGAGGGCGATCTTTCATCTGCTGCCTTAGTCCCCCAATGGCTGCAGTAGCTGAGACTGGATCAGGAGCTTCATTTGGATCTCCAGCTTGGGTAGCAGGGGCCCATGCTCCTGGGCCAACGTCTCCTGCTTTGCTAGGCCATCAGCAGGGAGTTGGATCAAAAGTGAAGCATCTGGGACTTGAACTGGTATTCAGAGGGAATGCTGGTGTTGTAGGCGGCAGCTTTGCACACTGCACCACAAGACCTGCCCCTGTGGGGCCAGCATGATGGCTCAACTGGCTAATCTTCCATCTGCAAGTGCTGCCATCCCATATGGGTGCTGCTTCATGTCCTAGCTGTTCCAGTTTCCATCCAGCTCCCTGCTTGTAGCTTGCGAAAGCAGTGGAGGATGGCTCAAGTCCTTGGACTCCTGCCCCCATGTGGGAGACCTGGAAGAGACTCTGGGGTCCTGGCCTTGGATTAGCTTAGTGGAAGGAGGATCTTTCTCTCTCTCCTCTCTGTACATCTGCCTTTTCAATAAAAATAAATAAATCTTTTAAAAAAAAAGACCTACCCCTAAAAATTGTAATTTTTTAAAAATAAGATTTGATTTTAATTTTTAAAGGCGGAAGTTACAGAGAGAAAGAGAGATAGCAGGAGAGACACTCAAAGAGATCTTCCATTCACTGGTTCTCTCCACAAAGTGGCTGCAGTATTGGAAACTGAGCAGATCTAAAGCAGGAGTCAGGAGCTTCTTTGGGGTCTGCCACATAGGTGCATGGTCGTAAGCACTTGGGCCATCTTCTCCTCCCCTCCCAGGCCGTAAGCAGAGAGATGGATTAGAAGTGGAGCAGCCCAGGCACGGATCAGTGCACATATGGGATGCTAGCACCACAAGTGGAGGCCTAGTTTACTTCACCATGGTGTCAGCCTCCAAAGTTGTAGTTTTTCAGTGGGTAAAATTGTAAAATTTAAATGGACAGAAATATGAACTGATGATGGAATTGTGATATATATATAATGTATGTATGTACATATATGTATATATATATACATTTTTTTTTAAGATAAGCCAGATTTTTGATAACATTCTTGTCAGAATTCCATTTTAGGAAATTTCTCTGAACGTATGGTTTGGCAGGCTTGTAGAGATTTAAATGCTGTTCTGATACTTTAATTTTCTTTGTTACAAAATTTGAGAAGCAAAAAGTGAAAGCTGCCTTGTTGCCTTGTACTGGTCTGTTCTTTATGTGCCCACAACAGCCAGAGCAGGGTCTGGGTTGAAGCCAGGAACTGAATCCAGGTCTCAGATATGGGTGACAGGAACCCAAATATCTGAGCTGTCATCATTGTCCCTCTCGGGGTCTGCATTGGCAGGAAGTTGGAGCCTGTGAAGGTCCTGCTCCTGGAAAGCAAGGACTAGTTGTGCAGTCAGCCAACATTATTGTCTGTGGGATTTATGCTGGATTTGGGAGGTGGAGAGAAGACTTTCCTTTGTCCTTAAGGATGTGATCGATTATAACATAAAAAGCACAGTATTTATAAAAAGTTCCCCGTAATGAGGAATACTTAAATTAGACTGAGGGATTTAAGAGTTTGTTAGGATTGTGACCATTGGACTTGGCTTATAACCATGAGTTAGTCAAGCAGTTGATGTGGAAACGAAGGTCATGACAGCAAGAGAGAACGTGTAATTTCAGGAAATTGCCTGCACTTGATTATGGTTGTCACATGGAGAAGAAGAATGGTTAGGAAAATAGCCTTGGAGAGATAGGCAGGCCCAATTCATGAAAAATCTTAGCTGTACTAGGAAGGAATTTAGATTTTTATTTTTATTTAAAAAAACTCTTAATGAAGTACATAGGTATACGTTGTTGTGTCATGTTTTGAGTATGTCATACTTTAGTTCTGTAACAACAATTTTTAAAGTTTGTTGCAGCATCCCCTTGTACTTTTAAAAATTGTTGAGGACCCCACTTTATTTGTTAACGAAGGCTGTATCTATCATCACTTATACTACGTTGGAAATCCAGGAAAGCTTTCGAATACCAGAGTACAAACGCAGACTTTACATTGTCTGTCAGTGGGATAAGATTATGTGTCACAGAGCCTTTGGAAAACCAGCTGTGTACACCCTTTATGAAAATAATTTTGCTTTCACGGACCTCCTGAAGTGGTCTCGAGTACTGTTGGCGGTCAACCTGTCCTGAGAGTTGCCTTCGAAGATCATTCTGGCACTGGGGTTGAAGTGTCGACCTCTTTTAAATTGTGATACAGTTTGCACATGCACATGAATATGCACAGCTGAAACACAGTGTTTCAGGAAACAGCAGCATATTAGTGATGTATTACTGCAGCAGCAAATTACCTCAACACTGACTAGAATGATTGAGAAAAGGAAGCTCCGATTTGATGAATAGCCTCCGAGGGTGGTCCTAGCTCGGATATCCCTTGCAGTTGCAGTTGAGATATCAGTAAAGTTTGCAGGCATCTCAAGGTTTTACAGCTTGGAGGATTCTCTTCCAACCTGACACGTAGGGATTTTGGTCGGAGGCCTCCGTTCTGGCCGCACGCCTCTCTGCAGAGGAGTTTTGAGTATCCTCATGGTGTGATGGCCAGCTTCACATGGAGTAAGTGATCCGCTTCAATGTCGTTCATGAGTGAGTCTTGAAAATAACACATTATGCAAAGCAAGTTACTAAGCCCCGTTCGCATTCAAGGGGAAAGGAGAAGAAAGGAGTGTCAGAGTATGTGGACATCTTTCTAGGCTACCACAAATAAATTTCAGGAGGCTGTCTTCCGCGTGTCTCTTCTTTCCTGTAAACCCTTGCTGTCAATGCTAAGGATATAGGGTCCTGATTGCTCTTGACCCAGGCCATTTCTCAGGTTGGGGTTTGCAACGGGTTACCTTTAGGAATGAGGTAGTGTCTCATGAGGACAAGGATAGAGGCTTACTTACCGCGTGCTGTGCAAGTGGTGAGTTTCCCAAGCTCAGAGTAGTGCAGCTGTCGTGTAGCGTCCCTGTGACCTCCTCCATCTAAGCTGTGGGACGTGGGGGTAACGGAGCAGATCAGGTGGTCCGTGTCTGACTTGGGAGACTCAGGTTCTGTCAGAATCCATAGCCTCGTCACAGCGTAGCATATGGACTTGTGACTGCAGGAAAATTCCAGACCTTTGCACTGTCTGTTGTTGCTTTAGTGTGATACACCCTGAAAATAAGTTATGGGTTCTGCTTCCTGCTTTATTATCATTTACCTTTGATGCTTCAACCAAGATGTGGATCATGAGAAATTGGGAAAAAAACTTGTATCTTACTGCTTCTTCACAGATTTGTTTTCTTAACAATGAGAAATATTTATATAAATTGTGCTAGGTATTGTAACTGAGAGATGATTTGAAGAATTTGGAAGGATGTGTAATATGAGCTTTGATCATTCACAAATTTTGGTACCCCATGGTGGTCCTAGAGCCAGTTATTTACCTTATTATTATTATTATTTTAATTTTTAACTAAAAACAAGCACGGGTGAATGTCTGGCCCAGTGGTTAAGGTGCTAGTCTGGATGGTCACGTTCCGTCTCAGAGTGCCTGGGTTCAGTTCCTAGCTCTGGCTTTTGATTCCCGCTTGCTGCTCATGCAGACGTGGGGAGGGAGGTGGTTGGATTCTTGCCCCACCATGTGGAAGACCTACATTCAGTTCCTGGCTGGTGGCTTTGGCCCCCTGGCAGCTGGTGGGCTCCAAATGCATGGGAGCTCACTGTAAGTCTCTCAAGAAAGTAAAACACTGAAACAACATCTATCAAACTGATTTTATAATCCACTATTAACATATACTTGTGCATTAAAAAAAGTGATTATTTCTAGAGGCAGTTAGGAAGTTGTTCTGATTAAGGTAGGTCATAGTGTATAAACTAAGATAATGGTTCTGAACTTAGTTCAGTTTGAGAGATACTTGGAAGTCAAATAGTTGAGCAAGATTTAGGATTCTAAAAATTATTTGAAAGAATTACAAAGAGGGAGAGAGGGAGGCAGATCTTCCATTCTCTGGATCACGTCCCAAATGGCCATGATGGTCGGGCTGGACCAGGTTGAAGCCAAAGCTACATGTCTTCCAATCGGGTGGTAGGGGCCTAAGTATTAGGGCTGTATGCCAGTGCTTTCCCAGGCACATTAGCAGGGAACTGGATTGGAAAAGGAGCAGTTGGGACTTGACCTGGTACTCACATGAGGTGTTGATGTCACAGATGGCAGAAATCAAACCCAGGAAATCCAGTATATGCTGAGGGTATCTTAACTTGCATCTTAGCCCCTAAGCAAATTCCAACCCTGGTCAGTCTTTATTATTCTCCCTTCCTCCTTTTTGTTTTGCTCTTAGTTGATAGGTCAGTATTTTTTTTTTTTGACAAGTAAAAATTTTAAAAATGATGTTTACTGTAAAGTACATTTTGACTGTATGAGTAAAATAGGTGAAAGAGGAAACTAGTGAAGAGATATTGGAAAGTTTCTAAAAAGAGTAATATTTATTGTAGGATATTTTTAAAGTTTTATTTTTATTGCAAAGTCAGATATATAGAGAGGAGGAGAGACAGAGAGGAAGATCTTCCATCTGATGGTTCACTCCCCAAGTGGCTGCAACGGCTGGAGCTGAGCCAATCAGAAGCCAGGAGCCAGGAGCTTCTTCCAGGTCTCCCACACGGCTGCAGGGTCCCAAAGCTTTGGACTGTCCTCGACTGCTTTCCCAGGCCACAAGCAGGGAGCTGGATGGGAAGCAGGGCCGCCAGGACTAGAACTGGCGCCCATATGGGATCCCGGGCGTGCAAGGCGAGGACTTTAACCACTGCACTATCGTGCCGGGTGTTATTATTGTAGGATTTAACATGTGATCTTTTCATTTCAGATATGGTGTAAGATATTTGTTCAAGACTGGACAGCTGAGGACCTGTAAATCCTGATGAGCCTTAAGCCAGCTTGTAGCCATAGAGAAACCTCACCGAGTTACATTGTTTTTCTTCCTGCTTCACCCGGTTCCCTGCACCCAAATTCATCTTGCAACCATGTATGGAAGTGCTCGTTCAGTTGGGAAGGTGGAACCGAGCAGCCAGAGCCCTGGGCGTTCACCCAGGCTTCCGCGTTCCCCTCGCTTGGGTCATCGTCGGACCAATAGCACAGGGGGCAGTTCTGGAAGCAGTGTTGCAGGCGGCAGTGGGAAAACCCTCTCCATGGAGAATATACAGTCCTTAAACGCTGCCTATGCCACATCTGGCCCCATGTACCTAAGCGACCACGAAAATGTGGGTGCAGAAACGCCTAAGAGCACCATGACACTGGGGCGCTCCGGAGGACGTCTGCCCTACGGTGTCAGGATGACCGCCATGGGCAGTAGCCCCAACATCGCCAGCAGTGGAGTGGCCAGCGAGACCATCGCCTTTGGGGATCACCACCTTCCTCCCGTGAGCATGGCGTCCACCGTACCTCACTCTCTCCGCCAGGCCAGGGACAACACCATCATGGATCTGCAGACGCAGCTCAAGGAAGTGTTAAGGGAGAATGATCTTTTGCGGAAGGACGTGGAAGTTAAGGAGAGCAAACTGAGCTCCTCGATGAATAGCATCAAGACCTTCTGGAGCCCCGAGCTGAAGAAGGAGCGAGCCCTGAGGAAAGACGAGGCTTCCAAGATCACCGTTTGGAAGGAGCAGTATAGGGTCGTGCAGGAGGAAAACCAGGTGAGTGTCCCACACGCTATTTCCCTTTCCTGGCTGAATGCCCGTCTTAAAGGGAGAGGAGCCATTCTTTTTCTTTTCCTGGCTTATGTATCAGCCTTTTCTCGGTTTAGTATTTTTGCCCTCTATTGCTCAGCCTTTTCCAGATTTGCAACTATGTACCCTATTTTCTTCCCCTTTTGTTTTGCAGTTGCCAGATGGCATGCTTCTCATTCTTGCTTGTTTCTTTTTTCTTGGTTCTCTTTCTGTCTTTTCTTTCAGCATATGTTATCTCTTTTTGTTTTCTAATTCTTTTGAGAATATAATTTTGCCATGCATCCATTAATGTGACTTTTATAAGTTATGTCAAAGATGTGTCTTAATAAATATTAAAAAAAAAACCCAGCCAGTCTTAAAACTATCACATGATCAATCATTGTGTTGTCAGTGCATAACAGATGTTACTTTCAAAAAGCCAATTATGTTAATTAAGGGACGTTAAACCTTTATTTGAGAGTGAAAGTGAGTGAATACGCATCAGTTGGTTCACCCTCCTGCTGCCTGTAGTGGTCACGGATGGGCCAGGCCACGGCTGGGATCCAGGAACTCCAGGCAGGTCTTCTGTGAGGGTGGCAGGGGCCCAGCCACTTCATCACCTGTTGCCCCCTGCGGTGTGCCCTGGCAGGAAACTGGAGGAGAGTCCAGGCACACCGGTGTGGGATGCGGATGTCCCAGTCCAACCGACAGCCAAGCAGCTGCCCGGTGATGTGGGATTAGGTACAGACAATGAGTCACTGATTTTTCTGTTGACATTTATGGTAAGACAGAGTGTGACCCTGCGCTCCCATTCACTGCTCCTTCCCTGATTACTGGTACTGAGCAGGGGCTGCACTGGGCAAGCCTAGAATGCGAGCCGGGAACCACAGTGTAACTTTCTCGAGTGATAGGAGCCAAATCACTTGTGCCATCCATCACTGTTGTCTTCCAGAGTCTGCATTGGCAGGAAACTAGAACCAGGACTTGGAGCTGGGCATTGGACCTGTGCACTTTGGTGTGGGATATGGGTGTCCTAACTGGTGTCTTAACTCATAAGCCACATGCCCACTCCTTATAGAGGAATTTCTAGTAGGTCCTTGGTTGTTGGCATATTCTGTCTTTCATTTTTTAAAATTTTGGTTTGTTTAGATTATGAATCATAAAGAAAGTAACAAGCTCTGAAATTTCTCCGTTGATCTTCAGTGATGCTGAGAGGAAGGAATTTGAATTGATCTTTTGTGTCTGATGAAATAGTTGATTACCTTGTCACTTTATTACCAATACTTAGGTATTGATATCTGCTCTTTTGGATACCTGAAGATCTCTAGTTGCATTACCTTTTGTGTGTTAAAACTCCAGACCTACTTTTTCAGCAACCACATAGCTGATTTTATTTGGGTAAATAGATATTGTACAGAGAAGCATAGATAAGAAAATAAAATTTATCCCAGATCATTTCATTTACGGCTGACTTCAGTATTTTAACAGTGGAAATTTCTTTTTGATGAAATCTGTCTAGGCATAGACACAAAATATTTTACATGAATGATATATTTTAGATGATATGTGCTGTGAGATTTGTAATCAACATTTTCAGCTGTATGTAGAGAGCTGTACAATATACATTTAAACATTATTTTAATGCTTATGTAACATTGTGTGTACACTTTATACTAGTTAATTTAATTGAAATTAAATATCTTCACATTTACTTGAAATAGTACAAGGTAATTTAAAACCAAATCTTGAATTCATTGGAATCTGAGATTTCAAAGTAATTTGAGGTTATGGTAATTTTCTGAACTGTGTTATAACCTCAAGGTAGTTTTTTTCACTATTTAATCACTGCTTAAATTGCTTAGATTGCCAACACTTGAAATTTAAAACTTTAATATATTTTAATCTCTAACTTTGGTAGAGACCCAGACTTAAAAAAAAAAACACCTTCAAAAATGTTGCTTATGAAATTATTTTGGATTTGAGTCAGTAAGACTTTTCAAATATGGAAAAGATTAGGACTGAAATGAAGCCTAAAGTAAGGACAGGTCCCTGAACTCAGCGCTGGTGGATTGTCACCCACACGTGTGTCCTTGACACCCCGATCCTCCGTCCTTAATACCGACGAAGTGAAAATCTCTGGCCCTTAGGGCTGGGACAAGTCCCTCTCGTGGTTCTGATGGTGAGCCCCTTCTGTGACCTTTAGCATTTATTCCGTACACTGTCTGTTGCCCCTCAGCGGTGGTGAAGACGTTGTGAGGTTTGACAGTGCTGCTTTGCAGCTAGTTGCGGGGAGTGGTGGGAGGGGTCTGGGGGGTGCAGGAAAGAAGTGTCCAGCGCTGTTGCTTTGTTCCTGTTCCGTCTCACTCCAGATGTGTGACCTACTCCTCGGCTTTGACCGTGACCTTCAGGAGGCAGGACTTGTATGGGGACGAGGCCCCTACATTGTCCAGCTAGAAACAGCATTCTCAGTGGTTTTGGTGTCCTCCCTACATTGTGAAAAATTAATGCACAAGATAAATGTTCAATGTTAGAATAGAATGAAAAAATACATATTTATTTATTTGCAGTTGACATTTAAAGCTGCTGGAAGGGGAAATAGAACAAAATGTATCATTCCCAAATGTGAAATTAAAGTACCTCTTCAGTTGTTACAGTTTGATATTTAGTAAATTTAAGTAGAAAAAAAAAACCAATAAGTTTGTTTTCCTTAGTCTTATGGTAAAGTTTAGAAAAGCATAGATGTGGCCCGGCGCGGTGGCGCAAGTGGTTAAGGTCCTCGCCTTGCACCCCCGGGATCCCATATGGGCACCGGTTCTATCCTGGCAGCCCCGCTTCCCTTCCAGCTCCCTGCCTGTGGCCCGGGAAAGCAGTCGAGGACGGCCCAAAGCTTTGGGACCCTGCACCCTCGCGGGAGACCCGGAAGAGGCTCCTGGCTTGGATTGGCATAACATCGGCCGTTGCGCTCACTTGGGGAGTGAATCATCAGATGGAAGGTCTTCCTCTCTGTCTCTCCTCTCTGTATATCCGCCTTTCCAATGAAAACATAATAAAAATAAATTAAAAAAAAAAAAGAAGAAAAGCATGGGTGCTAGTAACTATATCTGTGTCTTAGGATGAGTATTGGGGTTTTTTGTTGATGTGGGTTTGAATTATGTATTAGTAGTGTTATTAGTTCCCAAACATTTAAAAAAAATCTATTTTTTCTTTGGAAGGCAGATTTTACAGAGAGAGGAGAGACAAAGAGAGAGGTTTTTCATCCACTGGTCCACTCCTCAAATGACTACAACAGCTAGAGCTGAGCCGATCTGAAGCCAGAAGCCAGGAACTTCGTCCTGGTCTCCCACACGGGTGCAGGGGGTCCCAAGGACTCGAGCCTTTCTCTGCTGTTTTCTCAGGCTACAAGCAGGGAGCTGGATCAAAAATGGAGCAGCCAGGATATTTACTGGTGCCCATGTAGGATGCCAACACCTCAAGTAGAGGATTAACCTGTTGAGACACAGTGCCAGCCCCAAGATTTCTTTCTTTTAAAAATCAATGTTGTGCAGTGTTGATCAAGTATTGCTAATTCAGATCTCATACTTTTTTTTTTTTAACAGATTTATACATTTATTTGAAAGAATTGGAGGGAGAGAGATTGGGAAAGATCTGGTTTAGTCCGCGGGTGTGCACAGTAGTCAGGAATGGGCCAGGCTGAATTAGGTATCCCACATGGAGGCAGGGGCCCGTGTCCTTGGGCCAGCCTTTGCTGCATTTCCCAGGTCATGAACAGGGAGTCTCTGCCGGTGTGCAGAGCTTAGCTGCTGCGTCATGTTGGGCTGGTCCTCGGTGCAGATTAGTGGGACAGGTTCTGGAGCCCCAGAAGAGCTTGTTTGGCCTCTTAGGTCAGTCTATTCTGGTTTGATTCCATGTTCCACATACAGCAGAGACCTGATGTCCTGCGTTGGCAGGGAGAGAGAGAGAGAGCACCCCTCTTCTGAGCCTGGAAACGAGAGTGGCTAGCTGGTGCCATCTCCAGATCCCAGATGTGTCCTGGGGAAGGGTCATTTGATTGACAGGTAGACAGACAAGATTACATAGGCTGGGGGAGGTGTGGCTTCTAGCTCATGAACCTAAAGGAGCTTGCTACTGCTTATCCCATTTCATTCCCTCCTCAGAGATTTCTAACCCTTAATCTTCGGGCTTGCTGAAGGCTGCAGATTCATCAGGTCTGTTGTAACTGCTGCTTGCTTATTAGGGAGTAGGCCTCGAGCTGGAGAATGTCAGTGACTGTCATGATCCTCATTATGCTGGGAGGGTTGTTGGACCCTTCTTGCATTTTGAAGGAGTATTTGAGGTCTTCAGTTCTCTGGAGTAAGCAGAGTTCTCTTTCACGTGCACCTGGGGGTGTTCCTTTGCTTTGCACAAGAGTCTGTGAAGGAGGTGGCCTACCAGGCAGCTGTGCACTGAGGTCAGTGTACACACCCTTGGGCTCTGGTCCCTGAGGTCTGAGGTCCTGAGGCGTCCAGGATGGCAGGACATGAAAGCACAGGCCACTGGCCGATGCCAGAGGCTGTCATTGAGATCAAGAGCTACTCTGATAAGGGAAGGGGTTCCTGGAAGGCTCAGGTGACCAGCTTCTGGGACACAGTGGGGGCAGGAGGGGACACTCAGGCCCAGACCGTCTCCCAGTCAGGACACCCATGGAACCAGGGCTGGGATCACCCCTGCCTGCATGGCTGTCCCAAGAAGAAAGGGAAGGAAGGCAGGCAGGAAAGAAGGAAATTTCTACTTTATATGTAGAGAGAGAGAGAGAGAGAGAGAGAGAGAGAGAGAGAGAGAGAGAGAGAGTGTGTGTGTGTGTGTGTGTGTGTGTGTGTTTGAAATGGCAGAGTGACAGTATGAGTGGGAGGAATAGAGGTATTTCATCCATTGGTTGACTCCCCAAATGGCCACGAACTGCAGGAACCCAGAACTCAATGGGAGAAAACGATTATTGACGCACTTGTTGA